GGCCGCTATCAGGGCAGCTTGCAGCCTTCTCTTCTCCAGGCTAAACAGCCCCAGCTCTCTCAGCCGGTCCTTGTAGGAGAGGTGTTCCATCCCTTGGATCATTTTGTGGCCCTCCTCTTGACGCGTTCCAACAGGTCCATGTCTCTCCTGTACTGAGGAATCCCCATCTGGATGCAGTACTCTGGGTAAGGCCTCACCAGCATAGGGTAATAATTAATTCTGTCTGTATGCAGCAGCCTGAGTTCTGTCACACATTTATTCTTCAGCCTTGGTGTGTTTAGTCATAAGCATTTTCTGCCCATATATAACGCTAATGTACAGTGACTAAATTCTTGAAAAAGCAGCCTTCATAGCTACTGGCATCTGTGTAAACGAAAAGCCTTGTGTGCATGAATACTTTAACTGAATTTGTGAAAACCAGTGCATCAGCATGTGGCTGCTATTTTGCTTTCCTAGACTAAGCAGCAGGTTTCTTACCTGAGAAAGAAAGGTATTTCAATGTCTGAAACCGCCCATCAGGCTGCTCAAATTAACTGCAGCTATCAGTCATTGTGAGTACTTTTTATCCAAGCCAATCTCTTAAAAGAGTGAAAATAAAATTACAGAGCCAAAGGCTATACAGTAAATTTCGACATGTCACAGGAAACAACTTTTTTCTTCTTTCACTGCAGCCTTCAGTGTGGTGGTTGGAGTGGCCTTGGTGCTTTCATCCTTCGATGGCTGTACCCACAATCTTTGACTGTTTTCACTTTGGGCCTGACACATGGCTGAAAGTTGCTGAAAGTCTTAGAGACACTTCTGTGGGCTTTAAACTAAGGTGTGAGCTAAAGGCTTCATCTTTACAAGAGGTCAGCATGTGCTGTCTTCTTGGAAACCAGTGCCTACAGAGGAAGGAAAATGCTATTAAAACTGCATTAAAAGTACAAAACTAAGCTTGAAAGTGAATCAGTTTTAAGAGTAACGCATAGTCTTGGTGTCTTGCAAGAGGGTCTTGCCTGGTCAGCACCATCCTTAGGCATGGGACTAGTAGAGGATCGTGGTGTACGGGTCTGAATGGTGTGGTCCTGTCAAGATAGTGCAAAACCCAGGGGAGCACTGGGGAGAAGAAATAGCTTGAAGTGTTTGTGCTGGATGGACCTTTGGCCTGGGTCTCAGAAGACTTAATGCTGGAGGTGCTCATAATGCAGGTGTATCAACAGATCAGACAGCCACTGCTCATCTCCTGGTCTTTTCCCAACAGTGCCTCCTGTAAGTCACTGGCAACTGCAGATTTTGATCCTCTTAGCCTGGGGCAAGCAGGAAACTCACATATCCCACTTTCAGAATAAAGTGGCTTTAGATCACTGCTTAAGAACTGTAGAGTCCTCTGGAAAAAGAAGCAGTGCACATAGCACAGCCTTTTAGGAGCTGTTGATCTCACCTGCTCTGGGGGAAAACACTGGGCTTTGAGTTGCAAGTGGTAGGAACCTCTTCTCCACCAGCTTGGAATCGGGCACATCTATACCAGCTATTGCCCAGTAAAGGGCTTTTTCAAGCTGAGGACTTGATGGGGTTGCACCTGTGTACCTGTTGGGGAGATGGCACTGCCACTGAGGATGGCAGCACAGAATGGTGGTGGTGGGGTTTGCAGAGTTCCCTGTTTTAGGTTTCTAGTTTCTTTTTCGACATGTAGTCTTTGACCAATAGTAATTCCCTTCCTGTCCTAGCAGCTTGTGGTACTGCCCTTGTGCCCAGCATCCTCTGCTCTTGGCTTGTAGCTTAGAATGGTGTAGCTAGAAGTGCCCAGATGAGAACTGTGATTCCCTCTCTTTGCTAGCAGACAGCTTTGTGTCCAGCATGTTGCTGCTATTGGCTATTCAGGTTATTAGCAATATCTGATGAGCTCAGTGCACAACACACTTTCCGGCCCCATTTAGTCATTATGGGTGTGCACATGTCTGCATGTACAAACTGTGTTTCTGTATGCTTATGCCCCTTGTTTTTTCCTCCCCCAACCCAGACTGCTGCCTTCACCACCACCATCTCCTCTCCCCAGCCTATGCTACTGGCAGTAACACCCAGCTGAGAATTCTTTCTGTCTGTCATCAGGAGAGGGTGAATAACATGGGCAGAGGAGCTGAGAAAGCCTCCCTTGCAGCACTTGGCCTTGCACAGCAGCCTATGCTGTGTCAAGGTAGAAGAAAGTCTGCCTTCCTAATTTTGGTTGTAAGCCTCCCTTGTGAGACACTTTTGTAGTCTGAGGCAGCCTAGCCCCAGGAAACACTCATCTCCGAGCTGCTGCATGTATGGCATGCCAGGATCCCTGGCAATGCACAACTGCATTAATGTGTTTCTCTGACTTTTTTCACCATAGTCTACATAATAACACTGGGGCCAGTTTGTGTTCGTATAATGTTCCCATCCAGTGTCCTTGAGTGCTACCGCTCAAGCCTCAATTGAGGGTGAATAAGATGTTGACACTGTTCTCAGAAATGCCTTTCCCCTTTGCTTGCTCTTTTAAGATGTGCTCATAAACCTGATTTGAGGGGTGGCGGCAGCGCATGATGTGAGAGATGATTAATATTCAATTAATTTTTAAAATATGTGACTTGCAGAGGAGTTGTTGGATGTATGAAGTTGGGAATCAACATATGGAGACAATTTCTGATTGTAAACATACTGCACTATGACCAGCAATTCTCCACAATACAGTAGGATTTATTAATAGAAAATATGTCAATATGAGTTTGTCTTTGTACATGTTAGCAACATGTACAGTGAAACACATTTTTTTCTCACTCTATATTGTTATAGTTCTTTTTGTGTTATTTGACATAACCACTTATATTTTGGGCTTAAATATGTTATTTGTCAAAATGTATTTTCAGTGTTAATATACCTTTAAAATCATAGTTTATCATTTAAATATTGAATTCATATTATTTTTTCAAATCAATATTGCTCATGTTAGTGCAAATTTGTTAATCTTGAGATAGGTTAACCATTCCTTCCAGACCATAAACAGCATTTAATAAAACAGTGAGATTTATCAAGGTCTACACAGCTGATCAAGATTCTAATACGAAGCTTGTTAAAAAAAAATAATCTGACATTTGACAGTACATCAATTGCATTTTATACATTTTTTGGAACAGTTTGGTTTCTTCTCTATTTCTGTGTTTTATCTAGTACAAGAATGAAGGGAACAGCAATAGGTAATGATACTTTCCTCAGTACTAAAGAGAATGCATCATGATATACCCTGGTCAGTATGGCAGCAGTGTTGGATTTCCAAGCCTGGAAGAGAAGCCAGGTAATTCCACACCTTCTCAAAATGCAGTACAGCAAGAGTGAACAACGGTAGTAGGAGCACTTGCCACTACAGAAGAATGGAAACAAAGCAACACAAACTATAGACAAAAGATAATTTATGCCACTTCATCGGTCCAAAATGTTTCACTTGAGCAATGGTCAACATCTGACTGCAACTAATTTTCTGAGAGGAGCTGCAAGGGGGCAATGTGGGCATTTAAGTAGTTTGAAGAATGGAAATAAATCCAACTTACGATAACTTTCTGTCTAAAGAACTTTAACTAGAACCACGGGTCCCTTGGCCTGTTTGCGGTCCTGCGGCTGGAGGCCTGCACGGATCTGGTGGTTATCAGACAGGCAAGAAGAACTTCAAGTTGAGAGTGACATTCTTTATTAAAAAAAAGCTTTTATACTGAAAATGTGCTTTGTTCAAAAGAGCACTGCAAATGTCACTTATCTTATTAAAATCAATGTAATAAATAAAATATAAACAACCTGTGTCCAAAACTATGAATAATATTTTCATCTACCTCACTATACATCTGGCCCACTGTGCCCCTCCCACCCACCCTTTTTTAAACGTTTTAAAATTTTTTTTGCATGCGATTTTTTTCCCCCTGTTTACTACAAAGAGCAGATAAGGTTACATATCGTACACTGGGAAAAGCTGCCAAAAAGATTAAACTCTAGTCCTAGATTATCGAAAAACCAATTCTACGTCACAACATCCGCCCGCACCAACTACTCGGTCTGCGTCCTACGGAGCAGGCGATGCTTTGTGAGAGACTTTTCCCCCTGCACACAGCGTAAGTGTGGCAGGTGATGGTGAGGCTATTACACTGACTAACCACAGAAATGTTTGCAACCTAAAACAAATTCCTTAATTGTAATTTAAGCAATTTACAACTACTCCTTTCGTGTTGGGTCTTATTCCGTGGAAACCGTATGCCAAACTCTTGGCTGAATGGAAGAAATGCTATTCTTTTTTGTTTTTTGTTTTTAATTTTTTAACTTCTAGAATCCCAAAAGGTAAGATTATTAGGCCAGCTATTCTGGACTACCAGCCTAGTTTCCTTTCTTTTTTTTTTTTTTGGTTTTGTTTTTATTTTTTGAAAAAAAGTCTCTGTTCCTTTTTTTTTTTTTTTTCTTTTTTTTTTTAAGACAGTTTTATTTTAAATGCACAGAAATGGTCAGTATCTTTCATATTTGAGTAATGTGTTTTGGGTGTTGGGTTTTCTTTTTGGTATGGGTTAAAGTAAATGATTGTCCTAATGGTTCATGAGTCGGACCCTTCTGTAGCCTGAAGAGTTTGGGCACTCCAGGTTTTAGCCTGCTGGGTCTTGGTTTTCCATTCCCCCAGGGAGATGGCAAGATCAAACTCTCTCTTCCTTGAGCACTTGCTGGTTGGTGGCTGGAAAGTAATGACATTTCTTTCCTCAAGAGAAGATCAAGAGATGCTATTTTAAAGGAAATGGCACCTTAGGGTGAAGGACTCAATGAAAAATATCCTACAACCCCTTCCTTTGCGAGTATGTGGCCTAACAGTTTTGAATTGCTATCTATGGTTAATAAAGTGAGTAAGAGAAAGCACATACTGGAGTTTCCACTGTTTAAAAAAACTGAAAATCAAACAAAAACTGAAGCTTGAACGAGGAAAACATTGGATGAAAATAGGTTTTGTACCACACAAACGCACACACTCAAATACATACACACACACAAATACTATGCATACGTGGACACACACGAGTAAGAATGTATATTTGTATGGTAGATTCTTGGAAATAGACATTCTTAGCAAATATGGATGACAGATCAATTGTAATTTATTTTCTTTTAACACTGTATCATCATAAAGAAAACTGGTATAAATGAAAAAAATCTATTTCAAATATCTACATCTAAAATTTTAGGCAGTGAAAAAGCACTTTGTTGACAAGGAGTGTGGAATGATGAATGTTAATTGTCAGAAACTGCTGAATGCCTTTTTTTTTAGTTGCCACAAACAAATTCACATATCAGAACGAACAATACTGCTAAATATTCCTTTTTGTTTGTTTTTTTTTCTTTTTCTTTTTTTTTCTTTTTTTTTTTTTGTTAAAACGCACCGGGGAAAAGAAAAACAAAAAACTGGAAATTCATACATCTTTCAAAATTTGAAATTGAAGCAATATTTAGAACCATAGATGAAGAAACACTGTGGCATTGGTGTAATATACACAATGCACTTGTTTTTTTATCTGTAATGTACATCAAATACTTTACAACAATGCATTAACAAAAGGCAAGAAACATCTTGCTGTACAGAGGAAACCCCAAATGCAACTTGAAGCCTAGAGTCACAATGAATGAGGATATTAAACAAAGTGTGAGAAGCTGTTCCCCATAAAGTATGTACGCTGCTCAGTTACTTGTGCTTAACTCTTGACCCACATCCACTGTCATAATCTCCCTCCTTCTTTCAGCCACATTCAATACACAGCAACGAACTTAAGACTCTACTGGCCAACACTAAAGTTGTCCTACACTGTAAAATATATATATAGTATATATATTTCTTTCTAATTACTCCAAGGTTGTTTAGCTTTCATTTCTTTTAGCCTTCTAAAAAAATCTCTTAATTTTTTCCACACTGGTTATCTGGGCCTTCCTATGGAACAGGCTTTAACAAACTAAATTTGCAGGAAAAAAATGTCTTGTGGTATGCATGCACATGCACAGTTCCTGGAGCTTTTCTATCTGCCCAAGTCTCAAACCCAGGAGTCGGGAGAGGCTGGATAGTGGCTTGTTTCATAGTTAAGTTCACTATAGGGACGAGCAGCTGAATAGAAGTCGACGTAGTTGCCAGTTGACTTTAGTCCCAGGTGCATGTTGTATTCACTTGCAGGTGGACGATGATGCACTTGGTCCTCAAAGAAGGACTCATCATAGTTTCTGGTTGAATTCTGAAACGGCTGATATGGTTCGTAATCTTTTCTGCTGGGCTCCTGTGGAACTGGCTGTGTTGAAACCTGAAAGACAGCAATATCCGCACCTCTTAGGTACAATTTTCTGTGGGCAGGAGGGAAGAAAGAGTGAATCTCATTCTATGTTCACCGTGCTGGGAATGGAAACTTGGTCATTACTTAACCAATGCCCAAAGTAGCTCTTAGAAGTGAATTAATTCCACAGCTCTGCCTTGTCATTATATTCTTTACACTTTCATTTATTATTTCATTTTACTGCTGCTAACAGATGCTGGTTTATTTCAAATGTAATTAAAATCTGGTTTTGAGCAGTGCTGCTCACAGTAACTTTTAGTAAATATCATCTGTATACAGCTTTCTGACTACTTTGGAGCTATACAGTACAAATATTGGTGGCAGAAATTCAATTCGGAAGAATCTGAATGGGCAGTGTATGCACTCCAATATGCTTAACATTTTGCAACTTCCTTTGCCACAGATGAGACAGGGTGACACTGTTAAGAACTAAGTATAGCCTTCAGGGCACTGACATGAGAACATTTCAGACTAAGTCCCCTGAAATGTATTCTTCTGCTACTTTAAGTTGAACCAATTTCTTACCACTGCCTTGATACTTCATGCTGACAGTCTTGAGTTGCTACATTCCAGTAAGTTGCCTTGAACTTGAAATATTTATGATATACAGAAAAAAGTCTCAGGTGGCGCCCTAATCTAAGTTTGCTGTTAAGTTTTTTTCAGACAGCCCTAGTGAATCTCTGTTTTGATATTCGGGACTTACTTGAAATCTGAAAATTATAATCATTTGTCAAGTATCTTAGTGGAACACTATCTTTCACTCTGCCATCTCCATGAAGATTGGGCAGGCTTTGTGACTGCAAAATGATATGCTCTTTCAATCCTCAAATGCTATCTTTTCCAGTGAGCTAATATCAGTATCAGAAGACTTTTTGCCAAACCTGCAGACTACGCATGCGTTTGCCATGTTCCTTCAAGAAGACAGGCACAATTGCATTGCTGTGTCCCAAACTTTGGGTATTCTTTCAGAATGTCTTTATGGGACTCTATGAGTAACTTGAAAAAGACAGTCAGCATTCACTGCCATTAACAGCCCTACAAGTGACCTTACAGCACTGGTGACAACAAAGTCAAAATGGCAAAAGGGAGCATAACAACTCTATTTTCTATTTCTAGCACCACTTTTGTCTAATGCCACATGTTTAAACACAGGTGTCTCAGTTTGGACACAAGAGAAAAATTACATACTAAGCAACCTGTTCAAAAGGCAGAAGGACACAGCCAGTCATATTTTTGAGTAGAAAGAAGATCAAACTAGTATTTTGGGGTCCTTTATAAATAGAAACATTATTTATGATAAGTCAATCATAAACCTGACATTTCTTTGAGAAAACAAGTGGAAAAAGGTGGAAAAGTGGTGTTTTCCTTTTGCTCTCACTCTAAAAATCAAATTAGTTTATTTATGACTGCAGCCTGAGTGTACCAGCTGTTAAAATACCTCATACTCCTCCTTTTCCTTAAAAATGTGTTAATTAGAAGGACTTTTCTCGTTAAATACAATAAAAGCAGAAATACCTTCATACACTGAAATGGTGCACACAAATATGGTACATCACATGAAATACTGGCTAAGTAAAGAGCAAAACCAATACAGGGAAAACAGGGGCTCAACATCAGAAACTCGCCTTAAATTCGTGGATTCAAACTGAAATAACATTCATTGAAACTGAAATTTCAGGTAATCTCATAAAAATTTTCAGGATTTTTTTAATCAGTTCCACCAAATATTCTTTTACTTTTCTGATACTACTCATCATTTGGGTAGTATGGTTAGGTTGCGGTTGGACTTGATGATCTTTAAGGTCTTTTCCAGCCAGAGCAATTCTGTTTCTATATAAAGTGCTTTTCTTAAGTGTTTTTGACCTCCTACCTCTATTTGAAGAATGATGTACAATGTATAGGGAAGCTGTGAAAATATTAAGGAACTGTGATAATTAATTATAAGATACAGTTGTGCAAAACAGTGAAGCTACACATACATACAGACAATGCATATGTGCCTGTAAGAGATACAAGGGTACCAGGCCAGGCCTGTTCAGTATATATGTTGCTGACAAAATGCCTTAGCCTGTGAGCCACTCAGTGCCAGAAGTAGTTTGCAATTTTATGACTGATACACTCAAGCAATGAGATGTGAATGCACTTCACCAAGTTTACTGACACAGGACATCACCAGGTATTTGACAAAGCAGAAGTGCCCATTATGTTAGCTTGGCCCTTGCAGAGTGCATCACACATCCAGAACTTTAAAGGCATGCAGGTCTCAAGCCTCTCTTGATTTCATTATGAGTGAAAGGCCTCGATACTTTAAATAATTCTTGTGCATCTGCTGTCATAACTTGTTGGACATTTTAGAAATTTGGGCTGAAATTATTCATTAGCATGAAGAATATAACTTGCCTTAAACCAGTGGAATTGCCAGCATTTGCTCAAGCACATGACTCATTTATTCTAACCTAGATTTTTTAATCCTTGTGATATTTTTCATAGTTTCCACACAAAATGTTACACTGGCATCTTGCAATCTAGAACAGCAGTATATTAGTCTCCTTACTTACCTGGTTATGTTTGATATCTTCAGCAGGTGCACCATAAGAATTTCTGTACAAAGTTGAGATTCCAGTGTTCTGAGCTGGAGATAGAGAAATGGAAAGAAAAGCAGTTTTACCAGCTGTGCCTCTCTGGCCTCAAAATAAATTCTTAAGGCTTCATTTAATACTTACATAGTGCTCATTTCCCTTACACAAAAATCTTTAAAAGCATCAACAGTATTTTATTTTCTTTCTCTCTCACTAAACAGCTATTAATCTTTGCTCTGGGGTACACATATGTATGTGGTAACAGCACTATACCATTTACCATCACACATAAATCAACAAAATATACATATTTTGCTAGCATAATCATCATATACAGCTAGCATTCAGTAATATATTCCAGGTTATATATGTGGGATTTTGTATAATACATATACTAAACAGGTAAGAGCTGTAAATATTGGAATTAAGAAACATCTAACTCATTTCTGTTCAGTTGAACGTTACACCAAATCCTGGAATACTTATCCAACAATGCTGTTGTTATATTGTGAAATTATTCATGGGAAAACTGATAAAATACAACTATACAAAATGAGTTACGCAAAAAAATAAGCAGTTATACCAAAGATATTCTGGCCAAGACAGTCTCAAATCCATGAACTGCAGTAATTTTCTTCTCAAATACCTTACTACTAAAATGCATGGACAAAACTAAGCTACGAGTTTGAAATCAGAAGGGATTCTGAAGACAAGGATGACATTGTACTGTTTTGCAAAGATTACTGAGTACCTGCCTAAAGAAACACATTCAAAACCAAGGATTTTTCTACAAGGCTTTAACCTTCCCCGATCATCTTGATTTGAGTACCTAGCTGAAGCTCAGCTTGCTGATAGAACCAGAAATGTATGCATTTTTCATATCTGAAATAATCTGATGGAAGGATGTCATGTATTTGTGCACACTGTGCTTGCTGGATATGTGTTATTAACTTTCCAGATACTAGAACCAATGACTCAATAACTGTCACTGTGACTCTCACTATAAAAGCATATGCCCAAAAAATAATTTTAAAACTTGAATAGCAGTGAATCAGAGCATCAGTGGAACTGAAACAAGCTTCCCATTCAGCTTCTCTCAGGTCTCTGTGCAACTGTATGAAACCTGAGATGGTTTTTGTACCTTCACAACTCAAAACTTGGAGGGCATTACTGAAGGGCAGAGATGAAAGCTGGTGGTAGGATCCATGCTGGTCACATCACCAAGAAGAATCACAGTTACTGAAGAAGTAACCACCTTTTTCTTCCTTTGGAAAGCTGCTAGCATGGATCCCAGCACAGTAAACTGCCTCTGCCATTCTTCCCCAGTCACTCTACCCACTACGGAGAAAGGAAGGAATGGCATGGTTAGGAGTCAAAGCTGACTGTGAAGTGCCCACTCCACATCTGCTACAGGCACCATGCAGAAGGTAAAGCTTTTGACAGAGCTTGGTGCACTATTCCGTGTTGTCACTGTACTGATCACAGGTGGTGTTCTTAAATATCTCCAGGATGATCTTGAAATGGGATGAAGACTGGACCTATATGGTGGGGTGATGATCTTTACCAGCTGAAAAAAAAAAGCTCCCCTCCTCCTCCCCCATTTTTTTCACTGTTCACTAGTAGAGGTGAAGAAACTCTTAGTTCTTGATGTGCTGGATGCAGTTACTAAGACAGTGCATAGTCCCGTGTAGGAAATGGAGGAGAGATCCAGGGGTCTCCAAGTAGTGCACTGGGATCCTTTATTTGAAACTAAGAATATAATCTCTGGTAACAGACAGTGGTTGATTTTTTTTTTTGGTGGCAACTATTCCCAGTTCTGCCTGTGCGCAAGCAGGTGGTAACAGATGGAAATGATGACTGCTTGGATAGTTCATCTGTGGCCATAGATGTTAGCACAGAACCGTCAGTCTACAGAGGTTCTCCCCTTTCAAGTTGTTTCATTAAACTTGATTGATTTGTGAGGCTTGACAGTTGTTATTTCAGTATTTTTTATGAATTCCGGCTGCATCTTCTGCTTAGTGTTTCAAACTCTCATTCTGATGACAGGCTTTGGTGTTGAAGGAGCCAAGGAGCATGCAGGAGCATTATTGTGTAAGGTACTTTTCACGCCACTGTGGTGCTCAGTAGTGCCAGATAATTTGGTGGTACCATCTTTTTTTATGCTGGTTTTCTGACTTCCCTGCTTGCCCTGTGATGTGCTAGAAGAAGCCTGCTTGGATAATACGGAAGTGATGATGTGCTGGACTTTCATAAATGGGGAAGAGCTTCTTGTAACCTTTCCTTTTTTTATGTACATAAATCTAAAGATAAGCAGGATTGAAGATCCACACATCTAAGTTTTCAGACAGGAATTACTGAAAATACAATACTATTCATAGTTATTTGTCAAGAATAAAGAACAGTATAAGATGCAAATCTGAGGGTTTTATGGAGAATCTGAAGAAGAACAGCAGACTGGACACATGCTAATTCACAGAGTGTTCCCACAGGCAATCAGAGAGACTTTTAGGAGGGCCACAGCCTTTTCATCTTTTTAAAGGCAACTAAAAGAGCACAAGGAACCCGTGTGCCCTTAACAGCCATAATTATTAAAAAAACAAAAACAGTTCAGAGTTGATGCATAGCTCTCAACCACAGTACTGTGAAATCTGTTGTATAGCACAGGCCAGATTGAAGACTTGCAGTCTCCCAGATCACAGATTCTGTGATGGAAGAAATGGATAGTCTGCATAATGGAAGGTCTGCATTGCTGATTTCACTGCAGTCAAATGCAAGCAAACTGTGGTATTCTTTTCTTAATGTGATTAAAAGGAGTACAATGACACATCAGATGCTTTGAAATGAATGCCAAGAGTTCACAAACAAGAAATCTTGGCTTAGTCTAGCTAAGAGGATGAGATAACTCAGTCTCAGGAGGAAATGTAAGCCAAGCAATGTAGCTGCCAGTAATGCATGCAGCCCCAGTCCAGTACCTGCTTCGGAACACGCAGGCAGCATTCCTGGGAACTCCATTCCTGCTGTGCCATGCTTCAGTGAGCAGCTGACTCTTGCTGTCCAAAAGCAGGGGGTGAATATAAAAGAAAGAAGGGAGAGGATGAGCCAGATGAAAGGAAAAATATTTGGGTGGCTAGTATCTGATGTTACATGTGTCATCATAGTAAAATGATCTCAGAGAAAGAGAGTTAATCAAATAATTCCCTTTTTAAAACACGGCAAAGGAAAGAGGTACAAGGAGCAGAAGACAGAAGTTTTCCATCAAACATGTTTTCTTACAGAGAGGTGAGAATTGTCACTGCAGATAAACCAATTCCAGAATTGATGAGTGTGTGTGTCTGTATTTTATACAGTATCTAAACAACAGCACAAGATAGTACTGAGAAGGTACTTTTTACTGGGCAAAATAGTGACAGTTCTGAAGTGATTACTATGATACGCCTGCAGTAGTTTGTGGTTGTGTTGTATAAAGAACATTAGAGAAAAATACCTTACTTTATTATTTTCCCCAGTTTTCAAGGTAATATTGATTAAAAAAAAAGTTTCCCTCAGCCACCTTCTCCAAAGCTTACAAGCAGCTCTGAGAATTATGTCACTCAGTGGTTTATGTGACAAAGTTATCATTGATTGAAGCCCTCCCCACATATCTCAATCCCTTGATTTGTGGCTTAACATTCAATTTCCAGCTCCTAAGTGTACCCATTCAGAACACATTTACAGGCACTTTGAAATAATAAGGTGCTAACCTTTTGCACTCACAAACACAGACAGACACAAGAAAGGAAAGATCAGTTGGGCAGGCAGTCATCCTCAGCTGGTATTGCTTAACCTGCTCTTCCTACTGTGATCAACAGGGCTCTATTTTCTAAAATTTAACTCAAGACAGTGAAGGAAAATGCTTCTGTGCTTCACAAATATCACTTAACAGAGATCACTGTCTGTCATTACCACCGCCACCTTCATTTATGGTGAAAGGGCATGTCAAAAGATTACAGTTTTATTGTGGTTTCTTAAAGTAATAATGAGTTCAAGTCACCTGAGTATCTCTAGCTATTTTAACAGTTGGGGATTGTGTTCAGAAAGTGCAAGTGAGTTCAAATAAGAAAAGTACAGATGAAAGATTACTGACAAGCAACATAATAAATTAATCAGAAGGTATTTCTGCTGGTGGAAGTGAAGATGTGGGGTGCAGATTGTGATGCACATACTGGTTCAGTGAGGGTCCTAACAAAATCCCGTAACAGTATACAGCAGACTTATCTTCTCTGTTCTGAAGGAGAATACCAAGGCATAAATAACGTTACCACATTCATTTACAGCTCCTTTAAAAAAAAAGAATTGAATAGTTTTTGTCTTAAAAATATACTTTAGGTCATAAAATTTTATTATTGGTTATTATTTTCTACAGAAAAGAGAAGATGGACTGTAAATATACACGGCATCATAAACCTGTGAAGTGAGGAGGGCAATGGAAACTTTGATATTGTTCCCCTATTTTTTAGCTGTCCTTGTGAAATCAATGTAAGTTATCATTTTCAGCCAAATTGTTTACTTCATAGATTCTCCATTTTTTCCCAGAGGTTTCCTGACAGCTCTCCACGATGGCAGGAAGCCAGCATTTCTATCTCAAAAATCCATCAAAAAACCTTCATTTCAGTCTTAGCCAAGAGGTCATAAAATTTTTGAACTATAAACTGAGAAGAGCTTTGAAGAAGAGCATGGAGACAGGTGTAGATAAATTGGGACTACTGCTGTTGCATTCCATGTTCTGTAAATCTATAAGTCAAAGAAAGCTTTGTGCAATATATCAGCTTGGCACAAAACACAAGAGCAGTTCAGTATATGTATACGCCAGGTGGAACTTGAAAAAACATTTATCTAAGTCCCATAGGCTCTGTGGAAGTATTAACTGCAATGCATTATTTGATGTACACAATGAAATATAGGAATCAGAATGAATTTGCTATGCAAACTTACAATAGACCACAGAAGTAAGGCCAAAATGTCTCATAATTAAAGTCATAAGTTTCATATTGTTCTTTAATGAAATGTTTATTATTTAATCAGCTACAGATATGTTACACACATTTCACATCAAGTGTTGACAGTACAACTCCTGTCATTTTCTGTTCTTAAAATGATGTTTAATTTGAGCTCTGACCAAATGAGCAGAGATTTGGTGACCTGAAAGACAAAGAAAGTGATTTGTAAGTTTCATATTCATTTGTACAATGGCTATACAAGAATTTTGAAACATTATAAAGCTTATCAGTTTGATTGTTTTTGATTTTTCTCACTGAGCTCAATAGTCGGAAAAATTACCAATAGACGAGCGTGATGCTGAGAGTCTTGAGTGCTCTTATTAAGAACCACTCCAAAAGATCAATAAGAACATACAAAATACAAACAGATACGAAAACAGGATGCAAAAATCACAGTGGAGCAAAGGTTGCTGGGAAAGCACAAATCTCATGTTCCTAAAACTGCACAGATATAGCAAGGACATAAAGGAGAACAAAGACACTACAGTAAATGGTAAAATAAAAAGAGATGGGGAAAAAGAAATTTTTTGAAGTAGGGAGAGAGAAATGAAATAGGTAGCAAACTGCAGGGAAGCACAGGAACAGCACAAGGAAGTTTTTCCACACGGAAATCTATTTTTGAGAACTTTCAAATATAATCTGGTTGTCTGAATTTGCAGACACACGTAGGGTGAAATACTAATGTTTCTGCAGTTCTTACTCAGATTCCTTCTTCATGAAAGTGCTGGAAAAAAATTAAGTCCTGTCTTTTGTAATCACACAAGTAATGGCCTCTGAAGTGTTTTAGAGAATCCTCTCATGTGACTATGAAACACCCAAAATGTTATAGATACTTTAAATACAGTACCTTGATTGAATTTTCTTTAGTTTCATTGGTATCCTGTAGAGGTGATTCAGGACATTTGATTCTGTGGTTTCCATAGTGTCATTCCTCTTCTTCAGATTTTCACTTTCTTGCTAAGTCTGCATTGCATTTTCACCCAAGTTCAAAGACTGGCCTTTACGTTGTGATTGCACAATGGTGTATAGCAGAATAGATGCTGTTTGAGTAGTGTCATGTGCTGAAAGTGGACGCTAGCATGGATGGCTTGAAGTCATGTTTCTGCTGCCCCTGTGAGCTTAAGAATCCAAACCAACCCATTCTTGCATTCTCTGAGCAAGACCTTTGCAGAGGGAATGGTAAAGGCAAGAAGCATTCAAAAAGTGCAGAATGACTCCTCAATGTAAATTTTTTACAAGGTAGCATTTGGTGGAGAGGACACTATGATGCTCAGCACAGTATAAATATAACATAATACCCACCAGAGGTTATATAAGCCTGTGTAATGGTGATAGAGATTGACACATACTTTGCAGAGAACTAAAAAAGAGGCGCAATTCTAGCCAAAGTAGTCAATGTTTCTTAATTACTGAAATGCTAACAGGTGAATGAGCTCACTAAGGGAGAAAGGCCTTCAATGAAACCTGCAAAAGATGATAATACATATGCCAAGACAATTGTTAAATTTTAAATCAGCCTAGTTGAGAAAGTAGCAAGGATAGTTCTTCCAAACTGCTAGGGAATTTCCTAGCAATAACTGACAAATAAAAACAACTAACTTGTCCCACAGAGCCATTCCCTGCAAAAGACAGGCATCAGTGATCACCACACACGCTCAACCACAGTCATGCTCACAGAAACCAGCACCACTGGTGCTCACAGCACCAGTTAGTTAATACAAGGTGGATTTACCTACTTTCTTCAGAAAAGAGAACAAAATTAAAAAGAAATGTACAAATGTTCTTAGGGACTTTTTTTGTTATGAAGAATCACGGTCTTCACAAATCATTTTCACAGAACTCTGAATTCACTAAGATTGAGCACTTTTTTAGTTTTATTCTTCAAAGTTGCTAAACTTTGGCACAAACCAGAGCAAGTCAGCTCTTCAGCCAAGCCTATGAAATCGGCCATCTATCATTGCTGATTTTTACATGTGCTATGTAAGAATAATCTCACCTGTCATGGTGTCTTTCCTAGAAGTGTGTTCTCCCTTACTTCCATGGTAAGTGGCATTTGTTCCAGTTGATTCATAGTCTGTTTTCCTTTCTTTTAGGCTGATCATTTCCCGAGGTGAGGCTGGGGCACTTGCTAGATCATAAAAATGGATTTAGTTTTTCTTACCACATCATCACTGAATGTACCGTTTAACTCTAGAGTAAACATCACAGTACAGTATATATTTGCTAGTAGACTATTGTTCAGCTGTTTGAAGAAACACTATCACATTATGAAAGAAAAAGTGTTGTTATTTCAAATTCAGGACAAATGCATTAACGGGACTATCAATTCCAAACACCATTTTCTCTTTTCACTTACACTCAACATCTAAGATGATTATTACGAAAAACTACAACAACAGCAACAACAACAACAATAATAATAATAATAAAAAACAAATTTCCCATAGCATTTCAATTTCTTTAATTTCAAAACTTCCCAGTGTAGCTACTTCTCTCTCTCTGTCTCTCTCTTTTTTTTTCTTATAATGGTCAATTCTTTTCTGTTTAAAAGACCCTTAACTTTCAACTGAGTAAAAAAATCCTTATAAAAGGAGATAAAGTGGTTTCCTCCCTTCTCTGTTGAAAATAAACAAGCCTTGAAATAATTCTGGGGGGAAAAGAAGAAAATAAAGCTGTTTTTTTCAAAGAATACATACAAGAAAGAATATCTAACACTTAAAAGTAATTAAAATAATTTCTGTTATTAACTAAGTACAAACAGTTGGCATTAAAACAAAATTTCTTTCATCGTGTGCTGTGAAATTCTGCAAGTGTTTAGAGGCTGAGACAGCTGAAAGAAAAAGGTTGGGGGGCAATGTCATGGGAACAGCTGGCTCATGGGGTTGTTTCACAACTGACTGAACTTCAGCAGCCAGTAAGAAAGAGTCTGACTGAAACTTGGTCTAGCTAAAAGCGGGGAGGTGAAAAATGACTAAGAAATTGGGCTTGTATGTGATTCTCACACACTGAAGAATGTGAAGGTGATGAGTGGTGTTGATCACAAAGACTCACAGCTTGTGATGCTATGAAAGGAAAAAGAGAAAAGCTGGGACAAAAACAGCAGATTTCAAATAAACTAATTTTGATACATTCAGATGTTGGTAGATACAATGCAACTTTCCCTGTTGGGAAGGGGAGGAGAGGGAAGGTAGTACAAAGTGAGTAGCAGAACATCCCAGAGTTAGTTAAAGCATAGTGGCAAAAAAAATAACTGAACTTCTGGTGCTTGTTTCCACATGCTTCCTGGCTGCCACCCAGACATTCAATATGATAAAATAATCTCCAGAGCCATAACGTCTTTTCTCTGAAATTGCAGAGCAGACGTGGGACAGATGGCTTTCTTATGAAGCCATCAAAACTGGGGATTGCTTTTAAGTTGCTTGTCAATAGTGATGTAATTCTGAAGGTGATAAAAGTATTAACTATGAAGAAACATGACATGACATTAAATTACCAAATCAGCTAATGGGAGCCTGACTTAAGCAGGGGACAAAACAGGATTCAAACCTTGAAAAGGTAACTAACACTTGCATGCATTTTGTTTCCTATACTCTAGTAATACTTGTAACAATCTGCTGTTTTGAATAAAATTGACTGATGAGGAAAAAGCCATCTCTCTCTGTTCCCTGTGTAAATTGCACCTCTCCTCACCTGTTAGAACAATGGCTTTTTGGTAAGTGTTAAAATATAGAACTGTCTTCCTCCAAAGTTCTTACTGGAAGTAGACATACATTTATTACTTTACATTAGACTAAGAAGTAATATCAAGTTTTTCTGTTATTATTTTTAAATTACACACAAAAAGACAGAACTCTTCAAGCTAGTTAAAAGCACTGCATCACCAAGTCCTAGGGATGAACAGGACATTATGAGTTCATTTACTTCAGCCTTTTTACCCCAAGGTAGTAGACACTATACCAAAATAATTTTTGACGGATTTGTCTGAAGCTAAAGATCTCTGATGACAAAAACCAGGTAATTGCTCCAAGCAGTATATTACAATGCTTTGTTTCTCTGCCAGTAGGAAATGTTCCCTGATGTCTAGCCTGACTCCTTGCTGCTCATTATTTGTCTTCTATGAAAGCAGAGAAAGTTCATAGCATGCCTCTTTGCAGCTGCCTCTTACATGTCTGAAGACTTGGTGTGTATCTCTTCTCACTTGTCTCTGAGTTAAAAAATTACAGTCCATTCAGTGTGTCTTCATACTCTGATCTCTCCATCTCCTGATTCATGTTTGCAACTGACAAAAATCCCTAAGTCATTTCTAATGCAGTTTCATTTAGCCAGATTTCCCCATATAATTGATTTGTAAGGAATAAGATCTTTTCAGACAGTAGCTCCAATTTCTCAGGACAACTCTGAATTCTAACAGTGCTCCCCATATAAGGTGAGTCTCTTCTAGATTTATGCCACCAGCAAAGTTAACAGGTATCCTTTGTGTATTAGAAGGGTCATTATTAAAACCACTGAAATGTACTGGAGGCAGACCTCCAAGGAAAGTATTCTTTCATTTTGAGAAAAAATGAAAGTAACATCCATTATTTAAGAATGGTTTTCAGTCTGCTTTATACCTATCACATGAAACATTTTTTGGACTGTTTGCTAGCTTGCCCTGTCTTGCCTATAAAAATAATGCGTGAAATAGTCTCACAGATTAGTGTTGATTTCGTTTGCTGTCTATTTCTTTGAACAAAGCCCTACAATCATATCATGGAAGAAATTTAGATGGAACAGTAAGTACAGTAACTCTCACTGGGGCGTACTTACAGCCACATTTTCATACTTCCTTGGTGGTTTCTCGGCAGGACTAAGGTATAGCTTATAGATAATTAACACAATTATTTTCTTAGAAACACAACTACTGTATGTTGCTGATGGCAATAACCAGTTTGGTAAATTTTAATCTAAAACTACTAGTATACCTATGTAATGGCAGGATTTGATTGAACAAGTAGTAAATGCACACTGAAAGTTTGACCGTTGTAACTGTTTATCTTAAAATACTGTTACTGAGCCTACTTTAACTAGACAGGATATATTTTACCTTAGAATATGCCAATGAAAAAATTGCCTAGATTACTGAGCAGAAAACTAAATCAACACCTCAGTACAAGTTGCCATACTTACATTAATTCATTGCACAGATCATACAGAATAAATGACAGCTGTTCTAAATGTGCCATCAATATTACACAAAGACCTGCAGTCAAACTTTTTTAAAACTTGCAAAACAGAAAGTTAAGTAATCTCTCTGCTGTAGAACTTTATGAAGTGTCCTCTTTTCAACGGATAGTTCAGATATGAGCAAAGACTGTATCTTGTGCCCTTCCATTATTGTTAATAACAGATCAGACATTGCTTAAAGGAGGCAAATGACAGTAATTGATTATTTCAGCATGTACTTTGGTCCTGGGAGCCTGCTCTTACCTGAGCGGTTGTTAGGAGACATGCGCACGGGAGAGATGGAGGGCGTGCGTGATGAAGAGTACGGTCTTTGCCGATCTCTTTCTATCGTTGAAGATGAAGCTACAAAGTGATACTGTGACCATCCGTCCTGCAACATCAAACATTATGACAGCAATCAGCAAAAACAGCATATGGTGTTTTTCCTCACTATTCTTCATTATTAAGTACAGAGCATTTTCCTACATATTCTATTTTTTACTACTTATACACAGTAGGTTACTCTCTTTTTCCAGTGGTTGGGTGACAAATACTCTCAGTGGTGCCAGATTCAATTTACTGACCGTACTGACACACAAAAAGAATAATTTTAAAATGCAGTAATTTCTGTAAAGTATGTATTACAGAAAAATTCAAGTTATGAAAACACTGGACAATGTCTATTTTTTTTTTCCTTGCCTCTACTTTAGATAGATAGGTTAGATAGATCTGATATTAGGAGGAAGTTTTTCCCACAGATGGTGGTGACACATTGGAACAGGTTGCCCAAGGAGGTTGTGGATGCCCCATCCCTGGAGGCATTCAAGGCCAGGCTGGATGTGGCTCTGGGCAGCCTGGTCTGCTGGTTGGCGACCCTGCACATAGCAGGGAGATAGAAACTTGATGATCTTTGAGGTCCCAGGCCATTCTATGATTCTATGACTCTATGATTCTTTCACATTTTAGATGACATTCTGGCTACAAAAATATTCCAATTCATGAAGCTACCTTTTGTTGCAAGTTCTTGCTTTAAGTCATTTCTATCTTACTATATCAATTGTAGTAAGAAGCTACCACATATTATCAAAATTGATGTAAACATTTGAGTATAGTCTATAGTCTACTAAGATAGATTACATGCCCATTTGTTCACACTGAGCGATAAAAAATCAATGCATTTTCCTCACTGCATTTTTTTCCCAAGATGTACAGAGTGAAATTCCATTCCCTGTATTTAGAACTGTGGTAATGGTGATGCATTTTTTAAAAAAAGAAACAAAGCGATAGAAATGTTAGAAACAGCTACTTCAGAAATAAAAAGAGTTAATTCCTCCACAGTTTATTATTGTATTATTATAACAGAATCTAATGCTCCTAAATAATTAGCGTTATAGCTTGAAAATATCATGAAAGAATAAATGGACTTTTACTAGTACTCTTATTAAACTATAATATTTCAGATGCCTTAAAATATTTTCATGTTGAAATCGGTTTTATCACTACTTGTTTTAAATCTAAATCTGTAACACTGGTCGATCCTGTCTGGTCTTGGGCTGAAGGGTTTTTTGGCTGAAGGGCTTTCACAAACACCCACTTTCTACTATGCTCCATGGATATTGAGTCAAGTAACTGGCATGATGCTAAACATGGCTTTGCAGTGAAATGCTGGATATAAGCAAACACCAGAACACTGCAACCCCACCCACCCCCACAACCAGCAGGAATTCTACTCTTGCTTGCAGAAAACTAACTCTGCTTGACTGCAGAAGGACATTTCCCTGGGTTGCCCCAGCTCTGAGGCCCACTCCTCCCATCGGGCTCATCACAGGCACACAGCTCTCCCAGCTGCAGCAGGGAAAAGCTCTAATAGACCTTTTCCACTTTCAAGAAAGAAAACTCTGCAAGAGTATGGCAAACATCTCTTTTAATAGCAGCAGAAGGAAGGAAGGCATTCACATTTGATGTAGAGGGAAATGCTCTGATAGGAGAGAGAGACTTGACACCTAGCTACAAGTTCCTAACATCTGTACTCCCTACAGAACGCATTTCTATGTAGGTCACTCCAAAAGTAATGCCTCCTTTTTGCTTCCATGGAAACTACAGCACAATAATACTGTTTGACAGAGCAAGTTCTCAGCTACAAAATGCTATTCTTCAACAGTCACTACCATTAGCTCTGCATTTTCACCAATGATGAACAAGAGCCTCCATGCTGTGCTCATAAAAATCTGCATCAGTGGAGGTGACCCACTGTTTCAAAACTGCTATGATGTGGCATCATAGCATCCTTCATCATCTCAAACAAATGGAAGTCAGAAGGCACCAAATCTGGACTATGCAGTGGGTGTGGTAGGACAGTCCAGCCAAGAGAGGCAATGTACTCCTCAGTCTTCAAACTGATATGGGGCTTGGTGTTATTGTGTTGCAAGAGAATGGTTGTTTTCTTTTCTGGGGCTGGCTCTGGAAGTTTGAGCCTTCAGCTTAGTTAGTGTTGCAGTGTAGCAGTAAGAGTTGATGGTTTGTCCAGATTCCAGGAAATCCAGAAGAATCATCCTTTTCCTAGTGCAAATGACAGCACACATTACTTTAAATGCTAAGGGCTACATCTTGAACATTTTCTTCCATGGGGAATTTACATCACCACTCCATGTACTGCTGTTCTGCCTCCAGTTCGTAGTGGTGACACCGTGTCTCGTCACCAGTAATGATGCAATCCAGGAAACTGTCACCTTCAGCCTCATACAGCTTCAATAGGTCGAACTTGCACAAGGTGTTCTTTCTATTCCTCTGTGTGCATTCACGTAACTTATCTGGTACAAAATGTGTAATACATCAACACTGCCACCATCATTTCCAATGTACTGAAGCTGATATTCAGCTCTGTACCAAGTTTCTTGGTTTGCGCTGATGAGCTTATCAAGACATTTTTCAGTTAGTGCTGCGACAGCTGCGCATGGCTGTCCAGAATGTGGCTTGTTTTTCACAATGTTGTCACCACTGCTGAAACACGTAACTCATCACCTTGCTGTGCTCACATCCAGTGGTTGGTCTCCATAAATGTTTAGTAATCATTCCTCTATGATATCAGTGGGTGCCATTTTCTCAGTTCAGTTCCACACTTTTGCTTCAGATGCACTTGCATGTCAGATGCCATTCCGTCAAACTGTCCCTCTGCTACCATCTGTCATATGGCAACAAAATGGAATGGAATATTGTTGGGAAGTTTCATTCTCTACTGCCATACCACCAATATCCACCTCTGACATTGTGGGCCAAAATAATAAAATAGGAGGCATTACTTTCAGAACAGTCCTTGTATAAACATGCGCGTTTCTCAGTCACAAGTTGAAAAGAAAAGGAAGAGGGAAATGTAAGCCATGGCTTTTGTAGTGTGGTTATTAATTTCTTTAAAATGGGCAGTTGGTGTTTGTCCACTGCGGTCAGTCATTTTAATGACATCTCCCTGAACTGCATCTTACATTTCATAGCAATCACATAACAAAACATGAGGAAGGAAAAGGTAACTAACAAAAAATATATATATACATATATAAATATGATTTTTTTAGAAAAAGAAATAATCTCTAATACTACTCTCTTAAGCCACAAATTTCTGTATCTAATCTTTCATTTCCAAGAGGCCACATCGGCACAGGCCAGGTTCTCAAATAATGAAGGAGGACCAATGAGAATACTAATAAAAACATCTTTAAAGTCCTACATATTTATTGCTGAATAATATTGGAAATTATTAGAAACTTTTCAACATTTACATGTAAATTTTTAAAAACAACTGTTAACAACTATAACGAATAGCTTGAGTCCAATAATCTTATCAAAGCATTAAAAGTGTAAGAAAAATACTTGTGTTATTTTCACATCTTCCATTAACAATAACTTACATAATAAATTTTTACTCTAAGAATGAAGAAGCAAACTTGAGAAGCCCACGCCCTTATCCCGCTGTGGAAAAATGTTTCCCTTCTTCATTCTCTGAGGTCTTAAGTTCTTATAAGAAAGGTGACCTCAATAATTCGCTTTGCTACAGTTTTCTGACTATTATTTCTTTTAAGCAACTCCTCTGCTTAAGCAGGAGAATAGCAAGAGAATCAACTCTGGATCTGATAAAAGGAGAAGGAACAGGCTATCTCCGTCCACCTGTAAAATAAGGAGCCATCAGCCACACTTACACAGTGCAACTTGAAAGTGCTTTGAGCTCCATGGATCTAGAAGCACATATGGCAATGCACAATGCCCATTTGCATTCTTGTTTCCTGCAGGTAAGTCCCAGACCAGTGAGGCACAGCACTCCCACAGCATCCTTCCATTGGGATGATCAAGAGACTGAGCCTGTGGAGTGTGATGGAGACTACGCAGCAGCCTGAGCTGCTTCAGTGAGTCTCTAGGACTGTCTGCAACGGGAACCATCAAGAATTTCACAAAAAACTCTTAAAAGGTGGGTCAGTCCCTTTAGAAAAGTGGTGCACAAAGCCCATGTTGCAGTGTTCCGTCCTTTAAAGATAATTCTTTTTTCAAATTATCCATTTGAATATGAATAATTATCCATTATTCATTCTTTTGCTGAGTGCTCAGTGATATTATGAAATAAGAATTATTACAGTCATGAATACAAGCTTGGCATTTTTACATCATGTCCACATTTGAAACTGGAGCTCTATGAGTTGCCACAAATCAGTTAGAAAGTGACTGCAGGAACCTCAAACATAAAATGATACAAATTTACAGTGCAAACTTAATATGTATTAAGTAGCTTAATTACCTTTTTTTTTTTTTTTTTTTTTTTTCCTCTTATAATCAGGAAAAAAGTGACCCAGGCCACTGTTTCCTCCTGTTCTCTACTCCATCCTCTCTCTGCATTGTTCACTTTAATATTTAGAGCTACTTTCTGATGGGAAGTGGATGAAATTCACATGGACTTAGAGAGGAATTGTGTGTGGCACTAGTTTTGCTTGGAAGAATATCAATCTATACTTTGTCAGCATTTCCTCCTCATCAACAGCATTGCAAAGTACCTCACCAATAAGAGAATAAAATCCAGCTATAGCTGGGATGCTAGCAATAGCATTTTTTTCTGTAGCATGTCTGCCCCTCTTCTCCCTAAAAATCTTAGGTATTTTCACTGCTGAGAGTAGTGGCTGTTGTAAGGTCTTCAAAACAAATATGCTACAAACTTTAAAGTCTGCAAGCCTGATTAGCTCAATAATCGGAGTTAGGTCAACAATAAACTCTAACATGAATACTGTTGTTACTTGGCAATGCTTATGATTCAACAAGGCATACTGCAGTATGAAAAGCTTCACAGTGTTTTTGCAGCACATTATGGGCAGCTCACAGATGTCACATATTCCAAAACCTGAATACTTTTAAGTC